CTTACTCATCATCTATATATAATCATCATTTCCAGTGTCTTTATCATCAACATATTCAAAATCAAAATTTTCTCTCTATGGAAATACACTGGAAACTAAGGAATGCATATTTCAAACAACATATATATGCTAGTATTTCTTAACACATAAAACCTCGCATTATCTCACTTCTCTAAATAATTTACTTCCTAGTTATAAGATCTAAAGATTACATACAGCCTATTTTTTATACTACTTTCGATGATTGCTCACATGTGAGTTTTACATCTTATTTTGCTTTGCTATATCTATCATCAAGATATTTAATTTAATTCTAACTTACGTGATCCTGATAAAGAATGTAGGACCTGCCATACGAAAAAGAACACAGATCCTTAGAGGGAACAATTCAATTCTCGCTCTCAATCTCAACCTTAAAAACTGGATATAAACATGGAAACAAAAGAAGCAAGAAGAACAACGAGCGACGTGGGGAAGAAGAACAGAAAGAACTTGTTCATCTTGACCGACTTAGGAACAAGTAACAGCTGTCCGCATTTCTCTCTGAGATGAACCTTCTTCTCCAGTAAGCGCGTCCTCTCAATGTACACGAGGACCACGATCACCAGGAAGTCCTCCACGATGAGGGACAGGTACCAGGCGTCGATGAGTTTCACGTAGGACGTCTTGGGGATGGACTGGGTCGTCTGGCTGAAGAAGGTCACCAGGACGAGGAGCGAGGTCAGGGACACCATGATGCGATCCTGGGGAGAGGTTTCGGATTTAGATGTATCTCCTGTGTTCTCTCTCTCTCTCTCTTCTTTCTCTTCGCTCTTTTTCTCTCTTCTCTTTCTCTCTTCTCTCTCTTTCTCTCTCTTCTATCTTACACACCACACACCACACACACACACACACACACATCACACACACACACACACACACACACACTCACACACACACACACACACACACACACACCACACGCACGCACACGCACACGTAACTGCACCATCACACTCACACACACGCACCGCACGCAACGCAAATCTTCCCCCCTATTCCAGCCTCCGCCTCACTGCACCCATCCCCACCAAGGAGACTATATTCCTAGCCCGCCCAAATCCCATACCTGGAAGTCCTCGAGATTCGAAGAGGAGGCGTCAGGAAGCAGAATTATCACCATCATAGACTCGGTGTAAAAGCGTTCCCGATGTAGTACACGTAGCGGTTCTTAAACGCGAGCTGCACCTGTGAAACGTCAGTCATAATCGATTGAATGACCTGCAATAACTCTGCAGATGAATTGTAAATGGTTATGAGATGGTTTATATGCTCTCTCTCTCTCTCTCTCTCTCTTCGGCTTTCTCTTCCTTCCTCTCTCTCTCTCTTCTCTCTCTCTTCCCTTTCTCTCTCTCTTTCCTCTCTCTCCCCTCAATCCCCACCCTGCACCGTCTCCCAATCCCCCACCCCCCCCCTAACAGCATTAGGCTTTAAATTAACCTACTCTTGGCATAGCTGACGTTGCGTTCGATGAGGATGTCTAGTCCTTCGCTGAACAGTTCGTATTCCAACAGGTCCCTCCGGCCTTCGAAGTTTACAGAGGAGTTCTGAGTTTATATATATATATAGGTTAAGGCAGTGGAGCGGTAGGTTACGTTGGATAGGGAAATAGAAATAAACGGGAGGTGGAGGAGGGAGGAGGTGAAGGAGAGGAGGGAGTGGAGGTGGTGGAGGTATGGAGGAGGAAGGAGGTGGTGAGGAGAGGAAGAGGAGAGGAAAGATGGATGGGAGAGGAGAGGAGGAGGTGGAGGAGAGGAGGAGGTGGGTGGGTGGAGGAGGAGGAATAGGGGGAGGGGGAGGGGGAGGGGAGGGGAAGAGGGAGGGGGAGGGGAGGGGAAGAGGGAGAGGGGGAGGGGAGGGTAAGGGAGAGGGGAGGGGGAGGGGAGAGGGAGAAGGGAAGAGGAGAGGAGGAGGGTGGTGTGGAGGATGATGATGATGATGATGAGAAAGAGGAGGAGGAGGAGGAGGAGGAGGAGGAGGAGGAGGGGGTGGTGGAGGAGGAAAGGATTGATGATGATTGAAAGAGGAGGAGGATGATGATGATGATGAGATGAGAAAGAGGAGGAAGGAGGAGGAGGTGGAGCGGGAGGAGGAGTGAGGAAGGTAGGATTAGATTTTTGATGTTTTGAATTGGTGTGATTACCATTATAAGGATAAAACATCTAATGAAACTGCGCAAAGTTAAAAATTGTCCTTTCTTAGACGTGATAATAAAAAGTGCAGACTTCTTCGTGAAATGATATACAAGATTGTTCTACGACTTAAGAATGAACAAAACTAAAGGTTTTATAGTTTTTTCCATCAACTGTTGGTATTAAAGGGAGCTGTAATATTAAGCTTATTGAAAAGAGAAAAACGAGAATGGTTCACTTCATCTGGAAATGCACTTTCTGCAAGTCATTCGGATATAATTTTCATTGTTTAAGGAACTTTGTGAATGTATTGAGAGTGGGAAATAACA